TTACTGTTTCCTGTTTCTTACATAGAATTTCAGAGTATATTTTCTCACAGTTTTATCCCCTAGTAGAGATTCCTCATTACCATTAAAAAACACTGCCAAAAAAATATAGACAGAGATGGATGGATGGATGGATGGATGGATAGATAGAGCTGGATTAAAAAAGCTGGACAAGCATTTATCTGGGCTACACTTCCAGAAGTGGGACTGTTGGGGCAACCAGTATACATGTATTCTTCACAGTTTTATCCCCTAGTAGAGATTCCTCATTACCATTAAAAAACACTGCCAAAAAAATATATAGAGAGATGGATGGATGGATGGATGGATGGATGGATAGATAGAGCTGGATTTAAAAAGCTGGACAAGCATTTATCTGGACTACACTTCCAGAAGTGGGACTGTTGGGGCAACCGGTATACATGTGTTTAGTGTCGTTCATTTCTACCATATTGCTCTTCTAAATGTCTGCACTATTCACACTTCCACCGGCAGTGTGCGAGGCTCCTCCTCTCCACGTCCGCCCCGACACTTGCTATTACTCCCCACTCTAAAATGTGGCGTGGTTTTTAGGTATAAAGTGGTATTTCATCATTGTTTTCGTCTGGATGATTCTAGACACTAGCATTTTAAGCATTTCTTCATATTTTGGAGGGGGCGTTGGGTTCATCAGTCAATCGCCTACTCATATCTTTTGAACTTTTTTCTATTTTCCATTTGCATTTTCTTATGTATTTCTTCCTAGTTTTGTCCTGCTATCTTAGGTTTTTTTATTTGGGGGATAATCTCTTTAACAAGTCTTAGTCTATCTTTACCTCACAAAGATGTTCCTGGATTTGCTATTCTATTGATTTTACAGATTTGACTTTTAAATGTTTTAATCTGTCTGGAATCTACCTTTGTGATGGCATGATGAATCTTGTCATGCGCTCACACAAGTAAAGTTGACTTCCTTTGTTATGACTTTCTCTGTCAGCTTTCCATCTGGTAGTGGAGTTGCCAGTGAGAACTGAAATGCTCAAGAGCAGGTATCAATGCAGAAAATGGTGGAGAATCATATTTACACATTCGCAAACAACCTGTTGGTAATAAGTACCATCCTCTGAGCATGAACTGTATGCTAGGCTCTCTGTCCTATATTATTTTTATCCTTACAAAAACCCTTTGAGGAAAATATCATTACCTCCCTTTAACTAGTGAACAAACTGGGGCATAGAAAGGTTGTGTCTTGCTCAGTGTACCATACGTTGCAAGTTCTTTCTGAACTCCATGTTAGCGGAGAAGCTCCATGTTAGCGTAAAACAAGTCTCATGAGGACATTCCTGCACCTGTGGCTTGTCAGTTCAATTACAAAATGTCACTCGCTGCTTTAGTATCTTCCATGTGCCAAGGACTATACTGAGTGTTGGAACTACAACTCGCATAGGAGTTGGTTCCTGCCTTGAAATCACTTTCTTAGGAAAACAGTGGGAGGTGGACTCTCTTTATGGTGACTACAACGGACTCTGGTAAGACCTCCTTAGCTCAGATCAGGACTCCACATGTACTAGTTCTGTGACCTGACCTTGAGCAAGCTACTCTCTAAGCCAAATTTCCTCATCTATAAAATTAAAATAATAGATGGCACACAGGATAGATGTGAAGATCTAATGTAGTAAGGCATTTAAAGAGCTCAAGGCAGTGCTTAGCATTTTATCAGTACAATAATAGATGTTATCATTTTATGACAAAAAACAGTGATTGTTTATAATAGAAAAATTCTCTGATACCAGTATGCTAAAACTCTGTTGTCAAAAGCATATAGAAAACATCTCTAAATTAGACAGGAAGGAGAAGGTGGAAAGAACTTCAGATCTTACTTCCCAATGGAGCTAGTGTTCAATAACCTTGATTTGGAAATTACATGTTAGTTATTTTTAGATTTCAGTTCCAGGAACAAATTTCTTTCTTTGAGCAAAAAGCCATTCTACCATTTACTGGTGGATAAAATTGATATAGTCTATTTATTTCATATCTTGTTATGACCAGCAATCTTATAGCCAAGTTTAGGGTTTTATTTAAAGACATTATGCAAGCCTAGAGTCTGATAAAAAGAAATCTTTGCTTTTTCTTTCCTTGTAATTTTAATAGGGTCATTATAAAAGAATCTTATTTCAAAAAATTCTTTGGCTGTAGATACATTATAAATAATCTGCAAATAGTCTCTTCCCCAAAAAACTGTGTAAATCTAACAATTTTTTAAATTACAGGTGCTATTAGCAGGCGAAAGGAGTTTCCATACAGGATACCATTAGATATGGTTCCAAAAACAAATGTGAAAAGGATCTTGAGTGTAAAAGGTAAATTAACATTCTATTTTTATTACTTTTTTCACTTCATGTGTGTGTGTGTGTGTGTGTGTGTGTGTGTGCACTCATGCAAGTGTGCAGTACTGGGAATTAAACCCAGGGCCTTCACACTGAGTTCACACTGAGATGTAGCCTCCCTCTCTCTCTTTTTTCTTTTTCTTCCTTTCTTCCTCCTTTCCTTTCCCTTTCTTTTTCTTCCTTTCTTCCTTTCTCTTTCCCTTCCTCCCTTCCTCCCTTCCTTTCAAGGCATCTCATTAAATTGTCCAGGCTAGACTTCAACTTGTGATCCTTTTGCTACAGCCTCCCAGAGTGCTGTTTTTCATAACAAAGTCTTGTTAACTCTCTAACCTGTGCGGGTTGGGCTCATACTTATTATCCTTCTGCCCTAGCCTCTGAGAGTGCTAGGGTCATAGGCATGTGCCACCAAGCCCGAATTGATTACAATATTCTATTTCCATTTATCTGATTTCCTGCACACATAAATCTCCTGCGAGAGTACCCATTGTTCTCCTGCAAATACTTGATCACTTTTCCAACTGTCTTCTCGCACTGGCCAGAATGCAATGAAAATCCATTCTCCCATGATGGGGAGTGAGGACTGTTATCAGCCAAAGACTTCTCTAGAAAAAAAGGTGTGGCTCCTTCTGGACTTAAAGAATTTTCCATTCTCTTAGCTCCAAAGAAGGCTTCATGCCCTGCAGTGGCCCCAAGATGACAGCACTGTTCTGCTGAAATACCAGTCCCGGTGGGGTTGTCTTAGTCCAGTTGTGCTGTTATAATGAGATACCTAAGAGTGGATAATTTATAAAAAAACAGACATTTATTTCTCACCGTTCTAGAAGTTGGGAAGTCCAAGCTCTAAGTGCTGGTAGATTTGATGTCTGCCAGGGCTGCTCTCCACTTCCCAACACTTGTCTTGTTACTGCACCCTCATAAGGCAGGGAGCGGAGGAGCAGAATGACAGGAGCGGGTGAACAGCTCCCTCACACTTCTTTGAGAAAGTCATGAAACCCACTCAGGAGGACAGAGCTCTCATGGTCTCATCACCTCCCCAAATTCCCACCTTTTAATACCATCACCTTGCCGATTAAATCTCAATATATGGGTTCTGAATGGGCGTATACATTCAAGCTGTAGCAGGGATTCTCTTCCCACTGGGACATTTGAAGACATGGCATCTTCGATGGGCTTTCCCTGGTCTCGAGCCTTTACACTTCAGTAACATGCCATCAGAATGACAGAATGTCCTGACTACATTTTTCCCCACAGAAAACTTTGGAATCACAGAATGTTTATACTGGAAAGGACCTTTGTGACCTTGTGCAATCCAGTTGTTGTTAGGATTTATAAGAAAATGGGTTGCACAGTGAGTTCCACAGTGGTTACAAAATGCCTCGCCTTTGTTTTATGTTGTAGGTAGATTGGTTAATATGGTTTGCAAAGTTTAAATCCATGAATGGCACGTAATCTGTCCTGTAATGACATGTAATCTATCAATGTAATCACTGTGGATGCAGTGATCTATCCACTGTATTACATCATCTTCTACCGTAGTATAGAGATATTGCTTAAGTCTTCATTTTGTTTCTTTTAAATTCACATTTCAAGCCAAACCCTTTTTCTCATCTATTTCTGAGAAACAAGTGTACTGCTTAAATTTTTTTCAAAAAGGAAGAATAGAGGTGATTGTTCTCTTTAGCATATAGTGTTATCAGTCGATGGAAGTTGGCTGTGTATACTGATTTCTTCTTCTTGTTTCAGGGCTGCTTATAGGTGAGGTCCTGTCGACCGTCCTGAGTCCGGAAGGCGTCGATATTCTAACCCACCTCCCCAGGGGGAATGCAGAGGCAGAGCTGATGAGCATCGTCCCGGTATTCTATGTCTTTCACTATCTGGAGGCAGGAAATCATTGGAATATTTTTCATCCTCATTCATTAACTAAAAAACAGTACCTGAAGAAAAAAATAAAAGAAGGTAAAAAAAATCTATTTTACATAATAACCTAGTAATTTCAAGCAAATATTTTAAAGTAATAGTAAAGGTGTTATGAATTATATAAATGCTTAATTGTAAAAGCGGTTCAGCCAAGAGTCATGAGATGGACTCCACTACATGAATAAATATGTGTACTATTACTGTAGCATTTTGGCTTAACTTACCAAAATGCCTGGAAGAGAGACAAGACACCTGTGTTGCAAACTCTACGGAGCACTTCCTTCTTCTTTGAATGAGATCAGAATGTTCTGCTCGATAATTCCCAGTCCAGGCAATTTACATGCTGCCTTTGAGAAGTTCAGTATTGGCCACGGAGCATGTGCTAACTGCCCAGCACCAAAGGAAATTTACCGCCCCTGGGGCTGATGTAGCACTGTGAGTTGAAATGGAGGTCAATGAGGCACTGTGTTCTTCTGGTGTCTCTTAGGGATGGTGAGCATCATGTCCTACAAAAATGCTGATTATTCGTACAGCATGTGGAAGGGTGGAAGTGGTAGCACTTGGTAAGTAGCAAGTCTTAACTTGTATTTTCACGTAGTAGTTGATTAAGTAAAGAATAACGACTGTAATGGAAACTCCACTCCTCCAGTTGCTCAGACTAAAAGCTCCGTCATTCTTCAACTCCTCTCTTTTGCTTACAGCCTACATCAGGTCCAACATACGCCTGGCTACGCCTTCAAAATGTATCCTGAACCCTGCTGCTTTTTGCCATCCCTACTCTGTCATCCTAGTCCACGCCAGCTACCTCTCTGCATTATACCAGCCTTCTCTGGTTTTCTGGATTCAGACTTGGACCCTCTGTAGTCTACACTCAACGTAGTAGCTAGAATGACCCTAGTAAACGTTGTTAGGTCACAGCACTCAGAGCCATTCGGGAGCTTCCCATTGGGCTCCCGGTAAAAACCAGTTTCTCTTATTGAGATTTATGAAGCTCTAATGACCTGTCTGCATCTGGCTTCCTCACCTTCTCTGCGACATTCCACGGAAGCCGCTTCACCACTCCCCCAACACAGGCAGGCAAGCTGCCGCTGCAGGTCTGTGTGCTATTTCCTGTCTGCACCTCTCCTTCTTGGGTGTCGGTGTGGCTGTTTTCCTATCTTCTTTGTGTCTTTAGCAAAAGTCACCTGCTTCACGAGGCCCATGCTATATTATTCTATCCAAAATTGCAACCAGCTCCCACCCCAAAACTTCGTATTTTTATCCCTGTATTTCTTTACTCCTTAGAATTTATTAGCAACATTTTTACTTATTTCACTTATTTCCTCCAATAGACTATAAGCTCCACATATACAATTCCCAATATTCCTAGTGACTGTGCACAGCTGGTACTCAGTAAGTATTCAATAAGGCATAACATCCATAAATCTGGTTACTTGAGGACAAGACAGAATGAATTAAAGAGTCCATGTGCAGTCTACTTTGACAAAAACACTTACTAAAAACCCAGTATGCCAAGTGCTTTTCAGGTCCTACTCTATGAAACACATTTAAGATGCTTACAAAACCTACAATAATTTAATTTTAGATTTCCCCTTTTAAATAGTGAGAATACACAAAATTTCATCCTTGGGCCCCTTATTTTCCATAATCTCTCCTTATACAGTCTTATCTTTGCCTACAATTTCTATCACTTTTATTCCAGTGATGCCCTGACCAACATCTCAAGACATGATAGTTTTCCTAAGCTCCAGATTACTGTTTTTCGGTGTTTGGGGACCAAGGCCATCAAACACACTTCAAATTCATTCTTTTCTTTCTCAAACACACTTGTCTCCTCTGTCTCCTTAATGGGTGCACAGCAATGCCCTGCACTTTGTCCCCCACTGATCAAGTCAGAATCATCAAGGGATTTTTGACCCCTGCCTTCCCTTTTGGCTGTCCATGCAATTCCTCACCAAGTGCCACAGATTACACCTGAGAGTTAGATCTCACCATATGTGAGTGGCACATTTTTAAAAGACACATAGATCCTGGAGCCTGCTCAACAAAGATACCCCCAGGACACAGGAGTGGGGCGATGTCAGTGCAGACTGGAAAGCCCTCCCACGAGATGCAGCAACACCTCAGTAAACACTCAGAGCCTTTCAAGAGACCAGGCAAGACCACATGGAGAGATTTAACCAGAAACACGTGAACACCTCCCCAGACCTGACGCCACAGTTCCTCGAAAGAGGTAGTATAGGTGAAGCGGTAATATACATGAAACAGTAAGCATCTCTGTACCCTTAAAGATTTTCCTGAGAAATAAAGAGCTGATGCAAAAAATACAAATAACATTCATTCATATTAACGAAACCCAAAATTAAGGGTTGTGAACTTTTCTGTATTGGTCTTTGTATAAAAGTTATCCCTTCAACCACCAGTTTCCATCTTATTCCTGTTTACTTTCCTGCAGGGTCATTCATGCTCGTGAATTTGTGCTTCCTTCCAGACCATTTTTAATCTTTCATAGACATATGTATATGAATTCATATACAGCCCCTTCTTATATTTTTAAATGATCATAACTAATATCAAACCACAGCTATCATTCTGCAACTTGCCCTTTTCCCCCTCGATATTTAGTCATTTAGCTCTAGCAATACCTATAGATGTAATTCATTCCTTCTCCTCCCGTATTATATTATTACACTTTTACACATATATACATTGCACATATTTTTTACCCATCCTCATTTGATGGATAGTTATTTCCAGTTTTACTGTCAGAAACAGTGCTGTAATAAACACCTTCATATGACCTTTGTACACATGTACGCCTCTCTCTAGGGTACATGCTGGAATTGCTACAACATAATAAATGCATGTTTTCATTTTTATCATTTTTGTCAGCTCTCTCTTCAAAATGACTTTAAAAATTGTTTCTTACTACAAATGATTAGAACTGAAACCTACTGTAAAGCTTAAGGAGTTAAGCCAAACTATAAAACCACCTAGAGGTAGCGTTGGGTCTACAATAAAAGCAAATTAAATAACTTACTCTTTCTCCTTTCTTGCAAGTCACAGTTCAAGTATGAAATTCAGGCCAGTCTAAAAGAGACAGATTACTGAGAAGACAACACGATAAAACCAGAGTAAAATGTATTTGCTTTACTGCTGGGGAGGAGCTGTCTAGATACCCACTCTCTGAGGACTCTAGGGCTGGGGCACCTGAGTAGCAAGTACTGAGAAAGACAAGCACTTATACCTATTACATATTTAACTGCCAGAGCTACTCTAGGTGTGTTCATATATTTAATCCTTATACAAAATCTCAGCAGTTGGAGCCTTTTTTCATTATTGCCATTGCCTTTTTCAAGATCAAACTGAAACACAGTTTGGGTACAACTGACCCAGTTGTGAAGAAATGGAGAGGAAGCCTGGCAGTCTGATTACTTTTCTTACTCCTCTCTAGCCTGTTAGCAGAAAAGAGCTTTCCTAAGGCAAAATACCAAGAGCGCCCCAACATAACACACAGGCCAACCAGTGTTCTTGAGTGGGATGGAGCCATGGACACATTCTTCTCCTCCGCCGTGGGAGGAGACTGGGGGATGAAAGAGAAGACTTCTAAGTTCTTTCCCCTAAAACTCCACTGAACAGAAAGTGAACTTCTGTACCACCAGAAGCATTAGGAAAAGGCACTAAATTGTGGAGAAGCGAGTCTCAATTAATGTCAAAAATTGTTTTTTTTTTTTAATAATTAAAGCTGTTAGAGCAAAGATTTAGGACCAGATAGAGGTCCACAAGTAGGTAAATAGCTAGTTTTGTGCATCTGCACCAAAATACTATAATTCAATATGGAAAACCATTTGTAAAAGAATGAGGAAATACTATATGTTAATATAGAACTATAAGGTATATTATTATATATTAAAAGCCAAGTACAAGACAAAGTAAATATTATCTTGATATTTTGGTGTAGTTGGGATGGAAAGGTAGACAAGAAGTTTGTATATCTATGTTCACTCTTTGGAAGGATACCCTAAAAATAGCACTAGCTGCCTACTGGGAAGTGGAGGAATACCTGGGAGGGGGGGAGATTTATAATTTTATACCATTTATGCTTTTGGACTTTTGAATTACAAGATTTTTTTTTTGAGACAGGGTCTCACTAGGTATTTGAGACTGACCTGGAACTCACTGTGTAGCCCAGGTTGGTCTCGAACTCACAGCGATCCTCCTGCCTCAGCCTCCTGAGTGCTGGGATTATAGGTGTGCGCCACCACACCCGGTTTGAATTACATGAGATTATCCTCCTTCCAAAAAAAGTGTTTAAAATACATTTTTAAGCAGTCATAAATAGAAGCAAAAATAAAATGAAATTTAAAGTGAGGGTAAGGGGTGGAGGAGTCAAATGTTTTGGGTCTTCAGCCTCTGAGATGCTAAGCATGCAGGGCTTTGGGAGATCTAGGGAGGGGCAAGGTATGTAGGGAACAGAGCATGAATTCCATCTTCTCTGAGCCTCTGTGACAGATATTAGTAGAGACTGAAATTGCTCTTTATCTAAGTATTCATGATGTTACAGCTTCCTTGAGAGGTAGCAAGTTCGGTATCAATGGCAGAACTCAGGAGAAAGAAACGAAATGAACAGTCCAGGGTGTTGGGAAAGAAGAGAGATTAAGGATGCCGCAGTCATGCGAATTTTACGATCTAGAATTCCTTGTCTTGTGTTCATGCATCAGTGCCTTCACTTAAAACTATTTGTTTTACCTTTTATCTTTAATTTTAGAGAGTAATTATTTTGTCACCAGGGGTCAGTTGTCACTTGTTTGCTAGCTAACAGTGTTGTAATCAGAGATGTGCCATTCCTATTTGACTAAATATTTTAGAGATCTTTCAAACATCTTCCCTTGTCACCTTGTAAAATGCCAGTTTACTATGGAATTGCATGTTTTAATTTTTTATTATTTTCCAAAGGATAAAATTGTGTGAGCTAAAATACCCTCCAAGTTGAAAGCCGAAAGAAATCTAAGTATTAGAAAAAACTAAGTATTTGTTTGATTGTCTTAAAGGTTAACAGCTTTTGCTTTAAGAGTACTTGGACAAGTAAATAAATATGTAGAGCAGAACCAAAATTCAATTTGTAATTCTTTATTGTGGCTGGTTGAGAATTGCCAATTAGAAAATGGATCTTTCAAGGAAAATTCCCAGTATCAACCAATAAAATTACAGGTAAGAAGACCAAATGCACAATTAGTAATTTTTCTATTTACAATATAAGTTTGAGTTTTGTTCTCATCCTATTATGGGAGGATGAAAAAGAAGAGGGGAAAATATATGTAATCCGGCAAGAAAGAGGCCACATAAGTGATATCCTGGATAGACGATATGCCAAGTGTTTGTGGTTCACAGAGGGTAAATTCCAGAGATCCCAGAATAAGTAAAATGTCCTAATTTATCCATCTTTCCTTGGCATGGAATCTGCACCTAAAGGTCATGGCCTTCTAACAGGTCAGATTTCCACGGTGCTGCCATGAAAGGTGGGAACCTATGTATATTGTTAGTAAGAGAAACTGGGGCCAACTTATTAAAAGGTGACAAAGTGTCTTCTGAGATTAGAATCTCTTTATAGACTCGAATTACATTGCAATTACAAGATTTCTGCAAGATACCATTCTATTCCGTAGAATGCTGCAATCTGACTCCTTTCAGGGCAGGTGCAAGTGACCTCCATGGCTGCCTGTGGGTCTCATACTGGCCCTCTTTTGCACCAGTAGCAGATTAGAACTCCCACAAAAAACAGGGTAACTGGACTGGAGACCATAATATTAAGTGAAATAAATCAGACAAATATCATAGTTTCTCTTTTATGAGAAACTAAAAAAAAATTAAAAAATAATGGGTGTGTGTGTGTGCATGTGTGAAGAGAGAAAAAAGTAGAAGATACAGAGGAAGGAGTAGGGAGATCTTTTTCAAATGGATGATGAACAAAAGATGAAGCGAGGGGAATAGAGGAGAAGAAAATTGGATGGAAAAAATAACTGAACATGTGCTGATAAAAAAGGAAATAGGGCAACTGACATCATCTAGGTGTTATATGAAGAGTAAAATACTATGCCTTTTTTTTCTTAAGATAGCCATCTGTCCATCTATCTACATTCATTCAACAACCATTCACTGAGCACCTAACATATACAAGGGTCTTATTTGGACAAGGTGGGACAGAAGGGAAGGGAAGGATGGAGCCCACGTGGTGTCCCTACCACAGAGGAGTTCCTACACAGGAAGAGAATATAAAGTATAATTGCTAGTAAAAGTATTAGCAACTCCAGACAAGATAGATGTGTGTTTATTTATTCATTAGTGTCCAATTAAGCATACTCATTGCTGGATGGCAGGGACACAATAGTAAACAAAATTAGGCTGTAGAGCCAATGATCTAGCAGAGAAGTCAGACATGAAGTAATTTCATGTGTGTGATGCATGTTAAGAAAAGGGAGGGCTGGGGATTTAGCTCAGCGGTTCGGTGGCCTGCCTCGCAAGTGCAAGGACCTCAGTTCGATCCCCGGTACCACAAAAAAAAAAAAAAGAAAGAAAGAAAGAAAAGGGAAATGTAGTTTCATTGAAAGTAAATTATCTAATCTGGAGGGGGGTGGTTTTGCCAAAAATGAGCTGGTCATGCTCCTGGGAGACATAGGAGGAAGAGAGAAGGAGCATTCCAAGCAGAGTCCGTAGATGGGATTTCTTTTTATCAGAATTAGATTTCTTTTTATCCAAAGTAAAGTTTGGAAAAGAGTGGAGACAGGCTCAAAATAGAGATTAGAAGTGGATCATTTCACTTTAAAGAAGCCCTTTGAAACACTGTTTTTGTTTTTGTGTTAGGGTACCTTGCCTGTCGAAGCCCAAGAGAGCACCTTGTATCTGACAGCCTTTACTGTGATTGGAATTCGAAAGGCTTTTGATATATGCCCACTGGTGGTAAGTTTTCTTTCTCTAGCACTCATCTATTGGTGGATCATACACAGGAGGGGCCACCAACCAGAAGACACTTCGCTTCAAAAGCTTCTGTTCACATCGCTTGAAACACCAGAATCAAAGGGTTTCAGAACCATGATAGACATTAGAGACCACCTAGTCCCATCTACTTGTCAATGGTTGAGAAAGCTGACGCCTGTAAGGGGAATTTAATTGTCCAGTGTAACCATGGGCTACTAAATTATGAGGTTGGAACAGTACCTGGGTCTGTGATGGGAGAATGACCCAGGGTCCCCAGCTTGCCTCTCTTGTCTCCGCTAAGTCTTACTGTATTACAGCTTCATTCAGTAGTTGAGAAACTGTGTAGCCTACATGTAATGAGGACACAAAATCGCATGTCTGTTCCTTTGAGTTGTGCCATTTTGTTGGCTTGGCACCTGAGGAGGTAGAGAGAATCCACATACACAAGCAACAAAGAAGCTTCCAAAAGCTTACGGAAGTAATACCTCGGTGTAGGAAGAGCTAGGTCCCTGAACCAAGGTTAAGTACTCCTGTCTGCAAAACAGAAATCAATCAGACATATCCTTCAAACCAGGATACAGAACTAAGATGGAAAAACCCAAAAGGATGTGCAGAACTTGAAACACAAAGCACAACTGTTGTTTTAGTTTGTTTTATAAGCATTGGTGTTTACACTGAAGACAAAATTATCAACCAAGACCAGTTGGGACCAGTGGCCACACAAGCATGAGATGCAGGGAGGGCGGGAGGCTGGGAGGGAAGGAGCCAGGCCTTATGTCAGTGTCCTTCTTCAGACTTTCTCCTGACCCCACTCATCCCCCGAAACTCTTCTAGTGGCCTCAACACAAAGTGACAGGGACTCTTGTCCTAGGAATTTGCAGGATCAGAAAGTACTGTGGCAGATGGCCTGTTTTTTCTGCTGCTTATGGTTTTATTATTTTTTAAGTGTAATTTCTTTGGATCATATGAGCCTGTCTCAGCTATGCAGAGAAGGAAAGATGAAAGCCGTGTATATTGTTGGTGTTGCTTCTCCCTGAAAGCTGGGCCTGATATTGGAGCAGGGAATTTAAGAGACAAATCTCCACGAGGAACAAGGGAATTCAGAGGCAAAAGCTTAACCCAATCTGGAGAGCCACCGTTTTCTTCTGAGGTCGTGTTCTACCCCTTCTCGGGAGGACTTGCATTGCCGAGCCATCAGCCACTTCTACTCAGCTGTCCTTGTCCTCCCTTCCCCTCACCTGCCCCAGGACAGTGCTCCCAGAGTACTGTGACACTAAACAAATAAATGTTTTCTGCTCTTGTTTCCAGAAAATCAGCACTGCTCTCACTAAAGCTGACACCTTCCTGCTTGAAAATACCTTCCAGTCCCAGAGCACCTTTACACTGGCCATTGTGGCCTATGCTCTTTCCCTCGGAGATAAAACACACCCACAGTTCCGTGCCATTGCTTCAGTCCTGAAGAAGAAAGCTTCAGTTAAAGGTATGCCTCATTCTGCGCATTTATTCAATAGGGATTTGCTGAGTGCATAGTTTGCTAATTCTGGAAAGTGAGTGGCATGCGAAGTTGAGTAAAACACAGTCCTTTCTCTCGAGGAACAAAACATCACATGCAATGCAGTAAATGCTCTTCATTTATTAATTCATGTGGTGAATTTATTTATTCCTTTAACAAATGCATATAAAATATCCTATGATACTTTCTGGTGTGTCAGGCACTGTTCTAGGGTGCAGGGAGAAAGCAACAAATAAGACCACCCCAAATTATCCACATCCTCATGAAACTTTACATCCTAACTTTGGGGAGAAAACCAAATAAATAGGTAAAATTTGGTGAATATGTTGGTGATGACTGAAATGAGGGAAAATAAAACAGAAAAAGGAGAGAAGGCAAGGGGACGGGTTCCGGGATTAGATAGGGTGACTGGACTTCAGCCTCCCTGGAAAGATGGCGCAGTTGTGTGCCACTTGATGGGGACGCATTCTGAGAAGTGCATCATTAGGCAACTTTGCCATTGTGTGCACTTCACAGAGTGTACTTCCGCACAACAGATGGCACAGCCTACTACAGGCCTAAGCCACGAGGCCCTGTTGTATACATGATCCTCCTTGAAATGTCATCATGCAGCTCATGACTATTTGAGTGGAGACCTGGAAGAAAATGATGAAGCAAGCCACGTGGGTAGCTAGAAGGGTATTTCTGAGGGAGAGACAGCATGTGCAAATGCCCTGAGACATGAGCATATGTGGTGCTCCAGGAATTGAAAGGAGGTCCAGGGGTTTAGCCCAGTGGTGCCCCTGCCTGCCTCAGAAGTGCAAGGTCCCCAGTTTGATCCCCAGTCCCCCCCCCAAAAAAAGAATTGCAATTGCAAGGAGACAACTATGATTACAGAGGAGTGATATGAAGAGTAGAAGTGAAGTCAAGGAAAGAAAGAGTGAGGGAAGGCTGTGTAGCACTTTAGAGATCCTCACAGGGCCTCTCCATGGCTTCAGCATGAAGTTGTGCAGTGGTTAAGCCACCTGTCTGGATCACTTTTCTGTTCCTATAACAGAATACCGGAGGCTGGGTGAATTATAATGGAAAGTTTAGTTTGGTTCATGATTCTGTAAGTCCAAGAGCAGGTCCCCAGCCTTTTCTCAGCTTCTGGAAAAGACCTCATGTTGGAAAATGCATGTAGAAGACAGGAAGGGGACCAAATGCCTGGGATAGCTAACCTGCTTCACAAGAAAAGCATTGATCCACCCATGAGGGCTCCACCCCACGAGCAAAACACCTCCCAGTAGCCCTACCTCCCTACACAGCAGCCCTGGGGACCAAGCCCCACTGTGAGTTTTGGTGAGGACAAGGCATGTTGAACCACAGCCGCACCCACGCAACCAGGAGAGTCAGGCTGAAATCCAGCCCATGCTCTACTCCCCAAGCCACACACCCTGGTGTAGAGAAGCCTCCATCCAGAGCAAGGGCTACCCGTGTCTCATGCACATCCAGGTGCTGGCAGAGGAAGTCAACAACTTTAACCTCCACTTTCAACGAGAAGGAAAACCGTGGAGAACTCTGAGCAATGGAGTCTGTGACCTGCCTTGTATATTACCAGGTGGCTGAGGCAGCAGAACGGTTGCCCGCTTTAAGCCCTCTCCTAGCTGGGTTTTCTAAAAGTTTTACAAATCTTACATGAGATTTATGACCATCTATAAAATTTCCCTTCTGTCATCATCATTTAAAAAGGAATAAATTTGAACATATACCTCAAAACCATTTGTGTGGTATTTCAAAAATAACACAAAACAAATCTCTTGGGTATTATAAGTTACAGGCCATAAAATCATAGAATTTAGGAACTAGAAGGGAACTTAATGACTTAAGTAATGTTTGAGCTGGAAGTTTCTTTTAAATCCCCTATTAAATACAGCAGATGTGAGTCTCGGAGGGGAAGGGGAAAGTGTCTTTCCAAGGTCATACAATAATGTAATAAGGGATTATAAACAGGAACATTGAAACTTTGACCAGCCTTCAAAAATAATTTCAAAACTGACTTTTACTGGGTTTTTTGGAACAAAAAGGATTTCAAGTGGCTGGTTGACATCGTAGACCAATAACAAACAATTTATGAAAAGTGTTGCATATATGAAATTATCTTTTGGTGCTTTAAATTGAGAGGAAATAATAAAAGACTGAAATAAGGATTTGGGTATGGTCTCATAGCTCCCAGGATGGGAATTTTTCTCAGAATCGTTCTCTAATTTATGTCTCTAATAATTCTTTATACGTGTATGGTGCTTTTTGGTTTGCAAATGCTTTTTGCATTTAGTATCTCACTTGAGTTTCACTGCATAGAAAAAGTGTGGTCTACCTGAAGTACTAGGACACTGAGTCTCTTACCTGAGTTGACTAGTAATAGACCAGAGATTAGAACCTGAGTCTACTAATTCCTAATTTATTACTCTTTCCATTCTAACTCCTGCCTCTCCCTGGTACACATGACCTTGCCATGTTGGACTTTATAAGTAAAGATGAATACCACTGTATTAAGGAATTTTGAATGGCTGCCTCAAGGAAATTCTCCCACACACACACAAAAAAAAACTGGCTGCTACAAACCAGAAGACCTTAATGTACCTGCTATAATTATGTCAAATTCACATTTTTCATCATATTAACAAATGTGATGTGTTGATATCAGGTGATCCACCCATTTACCGATTTTGGAAAGACAACCTCCAACTTATAGACACCTCTGCACCTAATGCTGGTACAGCAGGTATGGTGGAAACCACTTCTTATGCTTTACTCACCAGCCTGAACTTGAAAGAGATGAATTATGTCAACCCAATCATCAAATGGCTATCAGAAGAGCAGAGGTATGGAGGTGGCTTTTATTCAACCCAGGTATATATCTTTGTCTTGTTTCATTCTCCTACTTCATTTTGTTTCCCACACCACAGTTTCTACAATCAGTCTTGCCTCCATGCCTTTGTCCACCAAATGCCTAGAAGGGAAAGACCCATAGAGATTAGCTGCAGAGAAGAAATATGTCCAGCAAGATTCCTTCAGAGATTCAATGGCAGAGCCCAGATCAGCATTCATGCCCCCTGAGTCTAAGCTTGGTGCTTCCTTTCATAATTCTTAATGACTGTGAAAGGCTAGTAAGACTACCAGCAAATTTATCATATTATATGAGTAAATACTGGTTGCCATATAGAGGAAAATACTGATGTTCCTCCCTTCAAAAAATAAAAATTGAAACACTGATTATTACTACATCAATCACTAGAATATTGTATATACACGTTTATAACTATTATATAGTTGGATAATGTATAGTCATGTACCACATAATGATATTTCTGTCAACAACAGACTGCATATGGACAGTAGTCCATAATATTATAATGGTGCTGAAAAGTTCCTATTGTCTAGTGGCAGTGTAGTAATCATAAGGGCATAGTTCAACACATTACTCAGATATTTGCAGTGCTATCAGTATAAACAAACCTATTTCCCTGATCGTCATACAAAAGCATAGCCCATATGTGCAGTACGCATTTGGTAATGAATGTTAGAATGATAATAAACAGTAGTGTTACCCGTGTGTACAATGACTGCACTATACTTCCATTGGGGAGAGTGTATCCCAGGCCCTTGCCCATGTTACACACGCTCCTTACCACTGATCTACACTCTCTGCCTCTCTACTATACTTTTTATCATTATCTTAACATGTACTCATTCTACTTATTGTTAAAGTTTACTCTAAAATGATGTGCACATTACTCCAACAACAGCTTCACGCAGCTCATATTCACCATGTTCCTTGACTCTGTCAAGAGGCCACACAGAGTGATTGACCTATACCATTGGTGAAGAACCTACAGCACATGTGCTACAGGGCTGTTGGTATCATTGAAAGCTCTAAAAGGTTCACCCTCATGGACCTGTACTATCCAGGCCTGTGTGAGTACACTCCAAGACTGAGTACACTCCACTGCCAACAACTTGCACAGCACATTTTTATATTTCTGCCATTCAGTGGTACGTGACTGTACACTTGTCTTCAAAGTTTAGCTCAAGTGTTAAAATCTTCCCTGTCTCCAGGATATTTAGATAATGCTAGAGTATATATATGTACACATATAAAATTTAGAGGCACAAGGATCCTTTACAATTGATTTAATGAACATCTAATGGGTTTTACCTTGAGTGCAACTGTAGGCTCAACAGAAATGAGTGCTCTGTTGAATAACACTGACTGACATGGACAGACGGTGGTGGAGCTGTGTATTTAACATCCTTGATCTAGTCATGTTTCCTGACTCTGCAGATAAGGAAGATGAAGGAATGATACAATTCATTCATTTGTTCCTTCAACAAATACGTACTGAACAGCTGCCATGTGTACCTCCTAAACACAGTGGATAATCTCTCAGTCAGCTTTGTGCTTCTATAACAGAATACCACAGGGGGGTATTTATAATGAACAGAAATGTATTATCTCATGGTACTGGAGACTGGGATGTCTAAGGCTCAGGTGGTAGAATCTGGCATAGGCCATCTTGCTGCATCATCCCATGAAGGAAGGGTAGAGAGAGGGCAAAAAAGAAACCCAAAAGAGAGCACAGGAGAGAACAAATTTATCCTTTTATAAAGAACCCACTCACTCCTGTGACCCGAACTCCTCCCTTTAGACTCCACCTCCAACTTTCCCACACTGGAGGTTAAATTACAACACAAGAATTTTAGGGAATATATTCAAACCATAGCAAATACCAAGAAATATACGCCACTCACTTGTCCCATGAATTTCACACTATGAAGTGAAAGGGTCAAGAATAGACTCTCTATAAATAAAATGATCATAAATTTCGATGGATGGCATTACACATTGATATAATAAGCAGGAAATAAACATCGGAACTGAACAATAGAAAAGGAGAGTCCATAGCCTCGCTATGGAAGTATTTAGTCAAAGACTGAAGAATGAGAAAGATAACCGAGCAGAACTGGGGGCACGGAGTCATTTCTCTGGAGTGACTTGCCTGAGGTTGCACACGCAGAGTACAGAGAGGATGCAGAGAGGAAGCCACGCTCCCTCCCTGTTCCCACTTCCTCCCCCACAGTGGGCCCCTTAGGGGCTTCACTCAGTCAATTGGAGTTTTGTCTCCAGATGGGGCTCCCTACCCTTTTGTACTTGTGGTTTATGTAAATAAGCTAAACATAGTTTTATTCCTTGTTGATTTTTTTTTTTTTTTTTTTGGTACCGGGGATCGGACTCTGGACCTTGTGCTTGCAAGGCAGGTGGAGGAACCACTGAGCTAAATCCCCGGCCCTCCTTTTTGATTGTTGATAGGATACAATTAATGCCATCGAAGGCTTGACAGAATATTCACTCCTCATTAAACAACTCCAACTGAACATGGATATCAATGTCTCCTACAAGCACAAAGGTGACTTCCATCATTATAAGGTGACAGACAAGAATTTCCTTGGGAGACCTGTAGAGGTAAATAAAAAATTTTTCATAATGTCTTACAATTGCATGGAACCACTTAAATCACCTGTTCCACCCTTATTTCACAAATGTATTTCACTGTGTAAATGTACATTGAGTATCTGCTATGTCCTAGGCGGGGTGCCTGATAAATTTTGGGCACTGGGGTTCAACACTAAAACCCCAAGACCCTGTGCACTGGGGAGAGATAGTCATACAAACAGCGAAAAATAAGAACCTTGAGGGGTACGTAAAATACAGAAGAAGGGATACTTGATGTGGGCTGGAAAGTGGAGAATTTGTCTAACATTCGGCCTTTAAATTTCCAAATTCCTTGCCTCATGTCCTTTGCTACTGCTGGATTTTTAAAAGTGAGAATTTTGGCTTATGAAAATTTCCCAAGGAAAAGGAATCATCGGGGAAAAGTAGGTTGTATTTTTCTATTAGCTGCCAGGATACAGCTACTAATACACATTTTTTCTGAGCATCATGTTTGTATTAAATATACAAATAATGAGGAATAGTATTTACTATTTGCACACTGTTCACCCTGCACAAATTTAGGCTTGTGAAACATAAGCAAGCATGAAAAATCAAATTCCATGCAAAAATTGCAAACTTCTGGCCCGCAGTGGAAAAGAGAAAAGCTACAGATATAAAAGACATGCACATAGATCTGTGCCAGTACATAAAGAGCAGAGATTTCAAATACAAATCTAACTTTCCTTTCCCTTGAAAAACCAAACGATCAGGCAGGCCCTTGTCAATTTGTTGTGAAGATCTACCAGTTGTGTGCCATGCCGCGTGCATATACAGTTGTGTCCATCCGTATTTGCTTTGCACCTGCCAGCATATGTACTAATTGTCCACAGTTTGGAAATATGTTTCCTTTCCCTGAGAGCAGTGAGAATTTGCCAGAGATCCAAGTTGTAAATTTAAACTTAAATGGGGAGCTGTCAGCCTGAGGAACATGGTAGGCCTATTAGAAGAAAGTGGATTTTTTTTCTCTATAGGAGAAATGCTTTAAGGTGCCCCTTTTCCTCTTAAAAATAACATAAACCTGAGTCCAGGAACCTGCTTCCATGTGAAACCTGGACTGTCATGATCTAATCTGGAATTCTCTACACCAACGTTTCCTGAAATGTGTTACATGAAGGAAAGTCAGGTGGTCAGTTAGCATGGAAACTCTAGTTTAGATGATGGTAAACAAGTTTTTCAAGACAGGATTCGCCTGTCCTTAAATATGTATGTACCTAAGTGTGGTGACTGGGAGAGAGAGAATAGGACACACTACAGTGTTTCCCAAATTCATGTGTCACGGGAATCTTTTTTTTTTTTGTAGCATCTCTAGGCACTTGTTCTCCACTAAAGGCTGCTGAGACCTGTCTGGAGAATAAAGGTGGCCAATTTTCCTAGGTTTACCAGAACTGGAAGGAAGGTTTGAGAAACTTTAATGCATGGCAAATCCCGTTTGCATTAACATGCTAGGCAAAGGAAAGGAGAAGTAATGAAGGAAGAGCTAACTTTTCAGGCTCTTGCTCAAAATGATCTCTCCCATGCTTTCCAGAAATTAGAGAGCATTTGGATCACAGACTTTCTCTGGAAGGGAGGTCACGTCTTCAATTTCCTCTCAGCAGAAGTGGGAAGTAACAATGGATTTAGCAGGCTTGGGGAATGGGGGCAGGGTGCCAGATGTTTGGACAACAGCCCATGACAGGCAAGCAAGATGAACCCTGAAGATGTAGCAGAGGGTGCAAAGGGGGAGACGGGAGAAGGCGAGAGACATCTGGCACCCACTTTAGAGTTACATTATTTCAATGCTAATGAAAACAACCTCCAACTGCACATCACGTGCTGAAAATGATGTCCAGTGATAGAGGCTGATTTTTGAGCTACAGATACTGAAAGAAATTTATTCAGTTGGCAAAAGGAAATAAAGATCCAGCTTTACCATAACTATGAATAAATAAAAATGCAACCAAAAGTGACCTTTGATGTGCTGGGTTTGTTGGCTCCCTCAGGAGATCTCAGATATTTTATGTACACATGGAAGGGAAAGAGGAAGTTCCATCATCTTTTAGGACCGACTGCAGGCACAGACTTTTCAATGTCTTATCTGTTTAATCTCAGAAGAGCCCTGAAGTGTCAGCCCACTCTTTTCATTGCTGTTATCTTCCCTACCTATTAAATGATGATGATTGAAAGTGTGGTTTCCCTATCCATCTTCCCAGGTGCCTCTCAGTGATGACCTCGTCATCAGTACAGGACATAGCAGCGGCTTGGCTACAGTACATGTGAGTATTTAGTTGAGCTCCAGTGAGAAGTGATACGTCAATGTGTACGAGGTTAAGGACTTTGCCACAAAAGCACAGACATCTGAGCTTGGATAACCATGACTAAAGTAGGATTCGAAATTCTTTCTGGCCATCTTAGACAGCTGTTCTCACAAATGTTTTTGCTAAGGGCTATGTTAATCTGCATATATACATAAGAGGATATCTTCTGTATATTTGTAGAAATTATATAGTATACAGTTATATATAGTCATGCACTGCATATTGATATTGCTGTCAAAGGTGGCCTCATACACAATGGTGTCACAAGTGACACCATAATTTCTTAGTTTTTGTAAATATACCCTATAGTGTTTGCACACTGTTGAAATCGCCTAATGACCAATTTTTCGGAACTTGTCCCTGTGATTACATGGTACATGTCTGTATATAGTTATGTATTTTTATTATATATGCGTACATGCGTACATTATATATGCATGTGTGTATTTTCTGTGGTTAGTGACATAGTCACATCTCATTTAGCCCAGTGTCTTTGAAGATTAATGTGTTATATGTAAAGATTCAAATGTCTTTCATCTTAGCCAATTAGCAGTTAGAAGTTTTTCTAAACACTTTATGAATGGCTGTGCTGTCTTAAACTGTATTCTGAGCAGAAATTAACGTTTTATTGGTGGCTTAAATTGTGCTTGTCTTTAGTACACTCATTCCTTCCAGGACTGTATGTAAGAGACTGCATGAGGGAGAACAGACTTTCCGCTTCTGTGACACTGCTGCCAACTCCTTTGGCCGCCCAAACACACCCATGATTTGTTATTTACCTTGACAGTGTGTAGTCTGGGATAAAATCACACTTCCTAGCCTTTTAGTGTTTTGTGTAAATTTGAAGTGCGCAGAATCAGGGACGAGAACTTGGGATCTTTCCTGTAGACTAGGGTGTTCAGATTTGACTGATGGCCTGAGGCCATTTTTTTGCTTCTCAGCTTGGTTTCAGATTGTGGGGTGAACTGAAAGTCCAGCTGCTGGGAAAATAAGTATTTGCATATACCACTCCTCCTGGGTGCTGAAAATGATACTTCAAGCATCCCATCTGCAGTAGCAGTACTGCCATAATACCTTTTTCATTTTCCTGTTTTAAACAGAATCTTCTTGTTTCCATACCCCAATGTAGGTAAAAACTGTAGTTCATAAAACCAGTACCTCGGAGGAAGTTTGCAGCTTTTATTTGAAAATTGATACCCAGGACATTGAAGGTAAAACAGCATGATTTATACTGTAATTTGGGCTTAAAGGTAATGTCGCACAGAGAGCTTCCTTTAGTAGGGAAAATGTGCTTGTTCAAAAAAAATAAAATATCTTAATCCAACTCTCAAGCAGGTTGACATCCAAGTGAACATTTCTGCCATTTATTATAATGCATGCAACTCTTTAATAATAGAAACTAATGCTAAATCATTTAATAACTAGCTAACTATATTCACTATGAGGAAGATGTTTTGATTATATTACTTTTAAAGAACGTAATAGGTTGTAAATTAGGCCACAAAAAGGGTCTGATTCCTTTGAATGTCCATTGTATTTGCATCGGTATTTCATTCCAGGACCCTCAATTTTCTTTTAACCCTGCTAGTTTTCCATCCTGAGCCTTTCTGCCCTCCACAGGGTCCAGCAAGTGCACATTTCTCTGCCTCTATTTTATCTTGGTGGTCTTCCCATCAAGATATGTGATGCCTCCACCTTTTTAAAAAAGTCTGTGGGCTTCCCATGCCTCTGTAGGTTGGATCTCACTTCCCTGTCCAAAGCAAGTCCACTTGCAGTCCCTAGTCCTCTTCCTCCAACCTTGGCCCCAGGGCAGAATGCATGCAATGGCCTCTATTCTGCTGGCTTCATCTGTGTCTGCGTGGCCCATTCCTGCAGGAAACTTCCAAATACCAGCAAATGCAGGCATCTGCTGCTCCTCGCTCCAACATCCCCCAAACACACTGCCAGTATCTTATACTAAACAATTTTCTTCCTGAAAGTATAAATCCTTTGACAGCAGAGAACTGTTCTAGTTATCTGAAGTCTTCCTGGTGTTGTAGGTGGCCGTGAATTTCTATTAAAATCACCACAAGTGCCAGTTTTCAAACCACAACTCGTTTTTAAGTGTGCTCAGACTTTCTCATGAATGATCTATTCTGATAAGTTCCAAAACAACTAAAAACAGTTTACGTCTTCCTGTTTATTTGTTTCCTAGCATCCAGATACAGTGGCTTCAGTGACTCAGGATACAAGCGCATAACAGCATGTGCCAGGTGAGCCATTTGCACAAAGTGGAGTGTGGATTTCAATATTTTAATACTGCCATAATATTTCTTTGTATCTTTTTGAATTTAAGATGTCCTGAAGATACAAAAGTGTTCAGTTTTTAAATGCAACACAGCCAGTATTCTTAAATACCTGCTTTGATTTTGCTCACATACAATACAGTATTCTCTTGTTTTTGTCTTCTGATTCAAACAGTATGGCAGTAGTTTCTTTTTGTTGTTGTTGTTTTTAATCTTTCAGAAGGGTAGAGATGTGTTCTAAATGTTGTAGAAGAAAATGAAAAAGATTCGCCTATAATCCCTCTCTTAGAAAAATCGCCTTCGACCAGCAAAATTCTCAGCCATTCTCAGCTCAGGCTGCACATGGCTGTCAAATCTCTCAGAAATGGTGCATCTCAGACCACACCCCCGAAGGTCATTCTGCTGTAGCCAAGGTTAAGAATCTAACTAATTAAATACAGAGGCCTAATTTGGCCCGTGTCATTTCCTATTGCCATAAGGTAACAATTATGGCAAACGTCATACAAATTTATTCTCTTAGGATTCTGAAGGTCCGAAGTTATAAATCAAGGAGTTGCTGGAGCTGGATTTCTTCTAGAAACTCTAGAAGTGAATCCATTTCTTTGTCTTTTCCAGATTCTAGTCTGCCTATGTCCTTTGGCTTCCAATCTCTTCCTCTATCTTCAATGCTAGCTCTGCAGAGTTTTCTAGTCATTTCCTGACTCTGAATTGTTTCCATTATTACATTCTTCTCCCATTCTCTTCTATAAAGACCCTTGTGATTCTACTGGACCCACCCAGATAATCTACAATAATTTTAGATCCTTAATCTATAAAGCCCCTTTTGCCACATTAGGTAACAGTTATAGGTTCTACTGATTAGGACATGGACATCCATGTCCTGTAGTGTATTATTAGGCTATTAGTCTGCTTATCACAGCCACCATCCCAAAGTGCTTGTGAAAGTGTACACTTGTTTTGAAAATATGCATATATTTTTTGCATAAGTGATCACAAAAAGTTAATCAGTTAGTGGCAAAGTCAGAACTTGAACACAGCTGTCTTCTCTCCTCTTTCCATTGGCCTCAATCCTTCCTACTGTGCTCTGGCTTCTTAACTCTTCCTATTGTTAATACCAGCAGTTCCTGTGAATGATCTTTTTCTCTTTTTTTTGGTACCAGGGATAGAACTCCGGGTCCTTGCACTTGCAAGGCAGGAGCGGAACCACTGAGCCAAATCCCCGGCCTCTTTTTCTATTTTTCTTTACAACTGAACATACTACTAAGGCACTTAGTATGGATAACTTGAAATTTTAGTAGGGTTGGGTAATAGCTTAGAGCAGAAGAGAACTTTGGGGATGATACAAAAATCCTCCTATTTTAGAAATAAAGAAAATGAGACTCAAAAGGAGAAAGTAACCTGCCAAGCTTTCATAGAGATAGAGGCAGAACCAAGCGTTCAAATCCCTAATCCCTGATGCCCAATCTAGTATCCCAGCCAGCTGTTTCAATCCAGAATAACCCAACACCATCAATCCCACAAAGTAATAAATTTTTACTGCCTCCCTCCTTGCTGATCCTCAGCCTTGTGATTTTATACCACTGCTCTTCTTCAGATTCTTTCAACTATCCCGACCTGCTCGCTTCCTTGGCAGCATTCCATCCTTTCAGCATTTCCTGCTTCCCGCCTTGGCCCATCTCTGCTCTCTGTTCCTTCTCAAACACCTTTCCTCACTTCCTAACTCTTTCCTAGCAGCTTCCTTCCTCCTACCATTTCTACTCCTGAGTGCCTCTAGGGGCACGATCACAGTTACCTTTAAACCCCTAACAGCAGTCACCGGGAGGTGTGAGCCAACTTCCGAGCAGAGGTAGAACCGACACATGAGACTCCACAGGGAAGCATCTAGAGTTGGCATGCAGGACCCTGTGATGATGGAGTGGGCCACCTTTGGGCGTCTTCTGCCAGGAAGTACTCAAGTGACCTCCGGCAAATAAGCCTGCTTCTCCAGACATTGCCATAAAGCAAGGATACTGGGCTATCTCTCTCAGAGTTTCTGCCAGTTCCAAGTGTCTGTCTCTCTACTGTCTCTCTACTATATATAAAAAGGCAGTTACCAAAAACTCATTCTACGGGCTTCATTGACAGGAAGCCTAATTCCACATTGTCAGTACACAAAAGAAAACAAGTAAAAGTGTGATACTGAATATTCTGTCCTTTGGTTTTTACAAATTGGAGACAGAACGTTCAAGAAAGGCGGGTGGAATATGCATTTGGCACTGGGACAATGAAGTTAGTCTGGGTAAATTCCAAATGTAACTGTGTAGTCCTTGTTCATGTAAGAAATTCTTTGCCTTCAAATATTCTCTCTCCTGATTAAAAAATACCAGCACACACTTTCAGTGTTTGGAGGTTCTCTTTCATATATCTAGCTTTTTACAGCCTCTCTGTGGTATTCATAAAAAAAGAAAAGAAAAAAAAAGATTTAATTTCTCTTGCAACAAAATGCCTTTGGGGAAGATTGCTGGTTTTGGCAGCAGGCAAAGGGCTTCTTGAAATTTCTGTTCCTTGGTTGAAATGGTCTCCACGGCAACCAGTCATCAAGGCTCCAGCAACCTTTTCATAGACACTCCACCCTGGAGGCCCTTTTCCATCCCGTTGAAGGAGTATTTGCATCTGTGAGCAAGAGTTCTTTGCTTCTACCCATCCAATTAAGGAGATGCTGAGATGTCACAGTATAGTTCAGAGATGTTTTATATTCTGGCCTAAATGGTGTACTTGGTGGAAAATGGGATTACATCCTTATACGTTAGAGATGTTCAATATTTTTAATTATGTGGTAAATATTATAGCTGAAACTTCTATCGGGGACTGTTTTATATATGCTCTATAAGGTATAATTGAGAAAATATATGCCCTGACATCTCACTACCTCATGTATCTCTCATTTCACTAATAGTTATTCCACTGAAAGGGATTAATTCATTTCCTCCTTTATGAAGCTGTCTTCTCAGTTTCTTATTTTCACCCTGACTGTTCTTCAAGCTCCAGCCTCCAGTATACAGCTGCCTTTCCAGCCTGAAGGTCAGCTTGTGCAGAGCATGCTCTCTCTGCCCCTGACCCCAACCTGTCCTGAGCCCCACACCTCTGCCACTCAAAGCCAAACTCTTAGAACCATAAAGATAAGTTTAAGACACAAGTTTGTATTGGTTGTACAAATCAGCTGAGACAGGAGAAATGATTTGTGGAAATCTTCAGCAGGACTGGGATACAACGCATTTCCTAAATCCTCCTTTCAGTATTCCTTTCTTTCTTATAAAACAAAACAAAACCTCCCATTTTTATCACTTTTGTGTTTCTCCTTAACTTACTACTACCATGATTCCTAAATAAGAGGCGGTCCTGGAAACATTCTTTTTTAAAAGGAAGTATCTAATAAGGAAAATAGAGAAAAACATGGGAAGGAAAATGTATAATTACATATAATCTCACCATTCAGAAAACATAACTGCTAACATATTTTCCTCCAGTCTGTTCCAGGACATGATTAAGTCTCCTTGCAATATACAACTAATTTTTTTACTTTTTATCAGGAAACAAGGAGATCAGCCTTTCACAACTAATTTTAACTTTGAATGTAGTCCATTGCAAAAAGAACTAGAGAGATAATCAAGAATCTTGGCTTTGTATGCAATTGTCCTTGTACTGGCCCCGTAACCCTGAATGAGTACCTTTCATCTTTCCTCAGTCTCCACATCTAGTTCACTTGGAGTACATGACTTCTGTGCTCCAGAATGAGCACACAAATGTCCACTGAAATTATTGGTCAAGTTGAGTAAAGAGTTAAAATCACTCAAAGATCTCCTGCAACTCTAAAATTCAGAGTCTGACCCCTGTGTTACAAAGGACCAAATAAATGGAGACCCACATTCAAAAAGCAAAGCCTGCTAATGAATAGGGTCCTTTTTAAAAGAATCTGGTGCATATATTTATTCTATTTCCAAATCTCTTATCTGTTTTAGCTACAAGCCCAGAAAAGAGGAATCATCATCTGGGTCCTCCCATGCAGTGATGGATATCTCTCTGCCTACTGGAATCAGTGCAAACCAAGAAGACTTACGAGCTGCAAGTGTTTTCTTTTACACATTGTAAATGCTTGGGATATCTTTTCTGCATTCCTTTATAGACAACATATAGTCTCTCATTTTTGTGTCACCTTTATACAGTTACCTAAAACATTCTTTCCAAAACAACAGTCTACCTAAGTGTTGGTTTCTAATAGTGAATCGGGAGTATATCATGGTCCAAAAAATGTGAGTGCTTGTGCAAACGTGTTCAAACTTTTTAAGAACTGCTCTTCAACTTCTCTAAATAGTGGATCACATGCCTGTGGTTTAACGGTCCATCAACAGATGAATGCAATTAAGCATTAAGATGATGAAATTAAATTCAGGCTTTTTTTCTGTTTCCTTCCTTAGCTTGTGGAAGGAGTGGATCGACTATTAACTGATTACCAAGTCAAAGATGGGCATGTTATTTTGCAACTGAATTCAGTAAGCGTCACCCTCTGCTATTTCCCCCTTACTATCCCTGTTCAAAATTTAAGGCTAACCTATTGCAAATATCTTCTTCCTCGTAATTTTCTTAAATTCCTGAATTTGTCAAACAGATTCCCTCCACTGATTTCCTTTGTGTCCGATTCCGGATATTTGAACTTTTTCAAGTTGGACTTCTGAATCCTGCTACTTTCACAGTATATGAATATCACAGACCAGGTAATCAACTCTACTGTAAAATTTCTTCAGATTATGTAACATTTAGAAATTCACTAAAGGCCTATAAATTGTACAAGGCTTCTCTTAACACCTACTGCATAAATTTCTCAACCTGAACATTCAAACTATTGCATGCAAGCTTTCTTAACTACTGTATTCAAACTACTTCATGATAATGAGAAAATCGTTTCACATCGCTGTCCTGTTTCTTCATTTTAAAAAAACAACTGGAGTATGTTGCCCTCACCTTTAAAATTCTTTGCCTCAAACTTATCCATGGTATTCATTGGCACTATTCACTGCATCTCTCCCTTAAGAGAAGCCCATTTACTCTTACTTTTCCATTTCATTAATCCTTCTAGAGCAACTTCTACCCATCTGTATTCTCATTGCAACTTGCAGAAAGCCATATTATAACGATCGCCACACTGTATTGAAATTGTTTGATATTATATGGTATTACATATCTTTCTTACCAACCCAGACAAAATATTTTCATCTTTGTGTCCCTAATGTCCTAGCATAGCTGGCGTAATGTCAAGTTCATAATGTATAGTCAATGTATTGTGTGTGCACAATAGATATTTGTTGAATGAATGATCTCACATTTGACTACTCAGACGCCTCCAAGAAATGTTAAGTGATTGGAGACAGATTTACAAAATAGGTAATTCGACTTTGGGCAATTCTATTTGCTAGAAAATTCTTAAAGTGAACCAAGCTCTGACACCAAGCCTAAATAATTACAGTTCTTTCAGTTGATTTTCGTGTAGCTATTTTCATCTAATTCAAATAACATCAAATAACTTTCATTTCCTAAGAAATAAATATTGAACAGTAAAATTTCAAGCACGGAACTTAGCTAATAAGGGGAGATCTCTCTGACAGTACAGGGGTCTTCTCTGGAACAGCCAATTCATAATTTAACCACTCTTGGCCTTAGCCATAAAAAGAAGTGTTTGGAATAGGCAATCTCTGAAGTTCCTTGTGAGAGACACACTCGTCAGTACATGTGTTGTGCATCAATCAAGCCACTTCTTGTAACCACACTCTTTTTGCCACAGATAAACAGTGTACCATGTTTTATAGCACTTCTGACACCAAACTTCAGAAAGTCTGTGAAGGAGCAACATGCAAGTGTGTAGAAGGTAAACTTCACCTGACATTCATAGGGTGCACGCTTATGTAATGCAGCCAGGAAGAAGCTGTTTGGCAAAAGTATCGTTTCTCAGAAGCAGAAATAAATCTCAGCTGATTGAAGATGAATGAGCATTGTAAAGCAACTTTTCCATGGTGCTTGCACAACCTACTGGAAAACTATACAGGAGCAAAGAAACACCATCCAGATGGTTGTTGACTACCCTCTACCCTTAGGGTTTCATGGTGTGGAATTTCTACTTTTACCCAATATTTGTAACATAAATCTACAACCCAAGAGAAGAGACTGGGAACTAAACCATTAGTTCCTCTTTTTCTCCCTTTATACCATCCAGTTAATGGCGTTCTCTTATTGTCTAGTCCATTCAGTCTTTTGTAAATCAAAGACAGTCTTTTTGATGAAGGAAAAGATCCAGAATTCACCACTTATCAGTTGGTGCCATGAGGCTCTGAGTTGGTTTTGGTTTCATTTTCAAAATCCTTAATATTCACACATTGCATAGGTATTTATTATACTACCTTATAGCTATTAATCAGTCAAAGGATTTTGAGTATATTCAAAATGGAAAATTTTCCCCTTTCTTTAAGAGAAACATGTACATTTCTAAAGAGTTGAATGTCAGTGAATGTCCATTATAAGAATAAGTCACAATTTCGTTTCTGTTTGGTTTTGCTTTTGCTTTAAATAATGTTTTGCTTTATATAAATGCTTCAAGAAAATAGGTCTTAGGATTCTGGCATTTATAAGATTATACTGGATTGTTTCAGGGCTCACAAGAAACTATGTTTACTCCCCAAAATAATGCTTTCTTCTTTATATTAATCTAATTATTCTCTTTTTTTATATAATCCAGCCGACTGTGGGCAAATGGAGCAAGAATTGGATGTGACAATCTCTGCAGACAGTAGGAAAGAAACAGCATGTAAACCAGAAATTGCATATGGTAAGTTCAAAAGTTTAATAGCATTCCTTTAAATGTGAAATTTTATGAATACATGATCAATTAAAAAGATCATAAACTTTACCTAGTGATTATATTAATATAGCATTCAATTTTTTCCCTTGAAGGAAAATGTCATCGATTTTGAGCATGAAGGTGAAAAGTTAGTTATTGTTCTGTAAGGATATGTGATTTTCATGAAAAATAATAGAACTGACATGCATACCCAGCCAAGATACTTTAACGTGTTTGAATTGCAGGCACTAAAACATATTCAAAGGGAACTTTGGAGAAGCTACAGACATACGTATAAGATTTCAGTTTTGTATTCTTCCAGCTGATAAGAGCAAAGGCAGAAACAAGTGAGATTTTGCCGGCTCAGTTCTTTCAAAATATCAAGATAAAAGTAAATAATTTTTAATATGTGCTTAGTTTTCACCTGAATTTAAGACTTTCTCCACTTCAAAAGAAGGATATCCTCCTGGCTGTCCAGAGCTCAGAGCTAAATCAGCGCACAAGTACATTTATAGCCTGTTCTCGCATTCCTGATAGAATTAGCTCTCTCTTCTCTATCCTTCATTTCCCATGTTTATTTCTGGCTGTTTTATTTTGAGAAAGAGAATAAGAGAAAAGCGGAGATACATACACACACACACACACACACACACACACACTCACACATCCATACGAGGTGGAAGATCATACTGTGAATTCTCTCAAATCCTTTATCTTTGAAGACTAAAAGGGTATTACATATAAATAAAAATAATAGCTGGTTTGGCACTTTGTATTTACAAACTAATTTTATATATAGTTTTTCACTGGGGTCCAGAAGAACCCTTAGAGGCAACAGAGCTTTATTACTATTTTACCAGGGAAGAAACTGAGGTTTTGAGAGATTAATTTGCTCAAGGCCATGCAGGAAGTAAACAGCTGAACTAGCATGCATCCTAGTCTTCAGTACGAATTCCATCATAGACTACCGAAGTCCTTCAGTGGAAATACACCCATCAGGATAAATCTGTATTGTGTAATTTATCTTGATTTTTTTTAAAAAAAGCTTTTAAAGCTGCCTGTCTCAGCCAAGAACCCCTACAGTTTTAAAAAACATATTAAGGGGCTGAGGATTTAGCTCAGTGGTGCCACCGCCTGCCTCGCAAGCGCAAGGACCCAAGTTCAATCCCTGGTACATACGTCAAGACCTGAAGTGAGTACTCTATTGTTTTAGCAAGGAAACAAAAATTTCACTGAATTTTCTTCCCTTCATCTTAGAAGTATTTTAACTCTGAAATATCAGAAATCTATCTTATCACAGAGAATAAAGGTAACATTAATTTATTGTGTTACTTTCCAGAAAACATTTAGCTGGCTTGTTCCAGAAACTGTTAGCTGTCACTGGAATAATATAATGAAAACAAAATAAAATAGTTCCCTGTCAACATTCACCTATAACAGGTACACTGCCCATGTCTACCACAGAAACTTGTAAATCTAAAATTCAAAAAATATTTCATGTATTTTAAGCCACTAATTTACATACCATGTGATCTGCCATGGTGAATTCACCTCTTTATCGATCATTTATCTACAGCTGGGATAAGCTCACAGACTGGAAGGATCTCAAAAATGGACAGACATTTTAGGGCTTTCATTTCCAGCCTACCAAGAGAAAAATAAAGAGTTTTTCATAAGGACAAACAGAAGGGACAGTTCTCTTCAAGCTGATTATTCTAGAACCGAAGTCAAATATACCATGTGTCAAACACTGATGCCTGAATCTTTAAAAACAGGATTGAGGAAGGTTCACATCAGATTCTTGCCAATCTAGGCAAGAAGAAGTGAGAAAATAGAATCCTATTAAAACCCAAATGGGGCCGGGGATTTGGCTCACTGGTTCTCCCACCTGTCTTGAAATCTCAAGGGCCCGAGTTCAACCCCTGGTACCACAAACAAACAAACAACAACAACAAAAAAAACCATCACAAGCAGTGGAACTATACAAGGAAGCAAAGCGTGGAAACACAGTGGCTCACATGGATCGATAGATAAGGCTTCCCTCTGTGGCCAGGGAGGGAAGGAGCGGCTCTTCAAGGGGTCCTCACGGGCATGACGCCACCAATCCCTAAAGGATTTGCATCTGAATTTTGCCTCTGACACAAGTTGATCTTGTTTGTGTATTTCATGTGCATCTGTTATTTAATATGACTGTTATCCTAACCAGCCTGTTTTTTAGCCAGGGCTAAAGATTGTAGCAGCTTGATTGAAGGGATCTGGGGAGGATCCTTGGAAGAAATAAGATCAACTTCAGGGAGACCAAACTTTTGGGTGACCAAAATAGCCATGCTTCCGTTCTCACCTATTTGACAAATTATGGCTTTTACTGGACCTGGCATTAGTGGTCTTCAGACTAAATTGTTTAGCTTTTGTCCTGTTTTGTTTTGTTACCAGCTTATAAAGTTAGCATCACATCCATCACGGAGGAAAATGCTTTTGTTAAGTATACCGCAACTCTTCTGGATATCTATAAAGCGGGTAAGGATTCTTTCATTCTTTCATTCAACAAATATTTAATACCATGTGTCCAGCATTATATTAGACACAGAGGCCATAACTAGAATAAAACAGTCAGGTTTCTGCTTTCATAAGGTTTCTATTATACTCAAGGAGACATATCTTGAGAAACCCAGATTATAAATAAAGAGCAAAGTAAAAGATAGATAATAGGCAGTAGAGAGATAAATCTTTCTCAAATGGGAAGGGGATCAAGAGATGGAAGGAGGAGGACCCGGGATTTAGCTTAGTGGCACCACACCTGTCTTGCAAGCACAAGGTCCTGAGTTCCATCCCTGGTACCAAAAAAAGAGAGATGGAGGGAGGGAGGGAGAGGGGGACAGAAAGAAGATGAAAAAGGAATTAAGATGTATCTTGTACATATATCAAATCCATATAAGGAATGTAAACATTATGTACTACAGACATATACTAATTAAAAATAAAATAAAGGTTTTTAGGGGCTGTAGATTAAGCTCAGTGGTTCTACTGCCTGCCTTACAAGCACAAGGACCAGAGTTTGATCCCAGTACTCCCCCAAAAAAAATTGTCTAAAAATTTTTTAAAAGTTTGTATAAATACTTCTCACTGACTCCTTTTATCTCAGACCTCAGCAAAACAGTCTGATATGTTTTTTCCATTTTTCCTTCTAGTAGCTTGGGATCAACAAAGAACTATAAGCCATCTTCAAAGTCAACTTTCACTTGAAATTACTTAAAACACTTTTCTTAAAATTTATCTTACTGCCTTATTTATATCTTCCAAAGAGCTCTCTGCTCATTTTAGTAGCTATCTGCAATAAGCAGACTATATATAAAATGCAATATATATCAAATTTTTATTCTTGAAATTCTATCAAGTATCTCAAGTCTGAAAATATTTGATTATTATCAGCTATACTCTAGAGGAGGTTAAAAGTTCTAATAATATTTTACAAATTTCTATTTGCTTTATCAACACTGACCAAAAGTTTTTTCCTACTTTTACTATTTCAAACATTTCACTGTGTGAAATTGATCTGTGGTATTATTTTATTTGTCCCTCACTGGCAGTCATAAATGTACTTTATTTGAATTTCTGATTGTCATTCTGATGAAACAGTAAGTATTGAGCACTATCATCTCTCCCTCATCCAACTGTTCAGCACCATTTGCTCTCAAAATCCACATCAGCAATAAGAAGCCATTCTTTTTTTTTAACTGAGGTAATAAAGTGCTTTTCATTTCAGAAATACAAGCTGTTTGTTTTACTTTGTATCAATTATTTAATAATTTTATTAGTATAATTTGTGATACATAATAATTAAATCTGTGTGGGAGAAATTACATATACATGTATATAGATTATATATATTATATACACATGTATATAAATTATATATATATATATAATTTTGATCATTTTCATCATCTTCCTTTTCACATCTTTCTCTCTTCCCTTCCCCAGTTCACTTTTTTTCCCATCTCCCAAAAGTCTACCTTCCTGTTTCTTACCATCTCTCTTTTATTTCTTCATACTATCAAAAGACATTCCAGACTATTCCAAATTTTGTGCAATATCAGATGACTCCCAAGATGCTATGGATTCAAAAGATTAGCTTTTACCGATACCTAAAAGGAACTGTTAAGCAATTTTTGCATATTTTAATCTCGCTAATTCTGGATGCTCATTTTCAATACTTATTACATTTGAACTTACATAAATATCAAAACACTACATACTACTGACACAAGTACTGCACACCAACAGTAAACTATTTAGAATCAAGGTTAAGCTATGTAGTATCTGGACTGTGATAAACTGGTGTTTCTCCTACAGCGCCGGGTACTTCCAGCAGGTGAAGACGTAGATGAAAAAGTGATTTGTGATTGCTAAAATGAGTTAATGTTTTTGTGCCTTCTTTTTCTAAATACGGTTGAAAATTTTCTACTAACAAGAAAAACATTTTTTAAAATAGTAAGACTGATCTTTTGCAAAAGGGAAGACCAAGAAGTGGAGGCGGGGGAGGGAGAGATAGGTGGGTGAGGAAAGAAGAATTACAATGTGTTATACATACATAGCAACTCCCCAGGAGGAATATATCCATTATGCATTGCAAGTGTGTCCTAGTAAAAAAGGAAAATTTGAAAAAAAATAAGGCTGCACATACCTGTAATCCCAACACTCTGGAAAGCTGAGGCAGGAGAATCACAAATTCAAACCCAGCGTGGGCAATTTAGCAATTTTGTGAGACCCTGCCTCAAAATCAAAAAAAAAATTTTTTTTTTAATTTTTAATGGGCTTGGGATGTAGCTCAATGCAAAGTCCTTGGGGTCAATCCTCAGTAGGACAAAAAGTGGAAAACAAGGCTCTGGGTACCCACACTGCTTGCTGTGACAAGGGCTGAAATGGCAGACAGTGTTGGGCCTGTGGATGGGATGTGGCTGTAGGAGCAGCCTAAGAAATTCAGCCAGAACGAGGCATATAGTTTGTGTTACTAACGAAAGTTTACCGTGCGCCCAGGTACTATTTCATACTACTTACTCACAAGTTCAAAAGTTTTTCAGGATTTAACAATTAGAATGGCTGTTCTAGTTTCATTGTTGGACATCAGCCCTGACACTGTTCCTGGCTCAAGAAGTTTCTAGTCTACCCGAGAAGACAGAAGTGTGGGCAAAACACTGTCATTGGAATTCAGATAGAAAAAAAGTAAAGTGGAGGGTAGGGGTGTAGCTCAGTGGTAGAATACACACTTACTCTTATGACAAAGAGTAAACGGGGAAGGTTTTAATACTGTCAGCATTACAGGTGGGTTGAAAGATGGGTAAAGTTCAACAGGAAAACATGGGGAAGAACATATTCCAGGAAAGGAATCAGCTTCTTGGCTGCTTTTGAGTCCTTTGAGAAACCAAAACTTATTTTCCTTAAAAATTTCCAAGTCTTCCATGTCTTGTACTTATCTACAAAGTTGACTGTTTCCAGCTATCAAATATTTTTATATCTGGCTATATAACCTCTAGACATTAATACTGTTCATCCATAAGAGTAATAACAAAAACATATGATTCTTGCTATATTCTAAGCATTGTCACATATTAACCCATTTAATCTCACAACAGTTCTACCAGGTAGATTTTATTATCGTGCCCATTTTCAGACAAGAGGACTGAGTTCTTAGACAGAGAGCCACACAGGTGGAACATCAGGAAGTGGCGTAGGTGGAGCTGAACCCAGACAGGCTGGCTGCAGAGCCTGACGTCTTAACAGTGTGGATACTGCCACTAGCCTGCTGCCACGGGGAACTGGATATCTTGTGACATTAAAATGTGCATTTGATCATCTTCCTTGTATATCTCTCAGGGGAAGCTGCTGCTGAGAAAGGCTCTGAAATTACCTTCATTAAAAGGGTAACCTGTGCAAATGCTGATCTGGTGAAAGGAAGGCACTATTTAATTATGGGGAAAGAAGCGCTCCAGATAAAACACAATTTCAGCTTCAGGTAAGTCATCAGTATTCTGGAGTCTCTGATCTTCCCTCCAAAGCTGAGTGTAATTCATTCCTATGTATCTCATATGTACCCTGCTGTTAACCAACAAAACATTATGAACATAAATGAAATAATATGTTTACAACAAAAAACTGCTGAAAACCCCCTGACAGCTGAGAGGACTGACTTACCTGAGGGAAAAGCCATCTAAATGACTGTGGCTGAGGGTCAATCTGAGCACTGGCTCAGGCTCCCCGAATCACCACTCCACTCGCTCACTGTGTTCTCAGGCTGTTCTGTTTGCAAATAAGAAAATGTTTAAATATACACCTCGTTACCTGTTTATGAAAAACAGACGTTGACGTAGATGTCGTTCCTGCCTTGAGTCATGGGAGGTCCAGGCGTCTCCACAATCCTTTAAGGATGGGGTCCCTTCCCCATGCTGATCCAGCAGAGTGTGGCTGGCAGCTGGGCCCCTGGGGATCCGGCTACAAGTGGGCTGTTACCGAGGACTTCAGACCCAGCTTCCCTCTCTGTGTAGCCATCATCACAAATCTCGTGTTTCCATTTTCTCTTGGTAGGTACATCTACCCCCTGGATTCCTCAACTTGGATTGAATATTGGCCTACAGACACAACGTGTCCGTCGTGTCAAACATTTTTAGCTAAATTAGATGAGTTTACTGAAGACATCTTTTTAAATGGCTGTAAAAATGCCTGAAAAAAGTTTTGTTGTGTGTAGTTTTCATTTACGAACTCCTCTTTTTTCTTTCTTTTTTTTTTTTTTTTTTTTTTTTTTTTTTTTAACATTCACAGCTGCACTTCTTTGGAAAGCTCACGTTCCTTAAAATTAATGGCACTTGCTTTTTTTAAGGGGCAATTTTAAGAGCTGTAACTTTCTGAAATAACATGGCCTTGGGGGGACATGAAGACAGATCCTCCCAAGTTTACTGGACACTAGAAGCAATAAACTGGAACACCTCCTAAAAATCTATCACTCAGGAATGTTTGCTGGGACCAAAAGAATGGCCTCATTGAAATGGAGGATCTTACAAAAACATGGCCTTTGCTTGAAATAAAATACCAAGGTACTGAAAACGGATCATTAAAGCTTGATTCTGCTTTCAAAATGCTCTAAAACGCATGTTATTTTATGCTAGGTCAGCTTCAAGCACACAAAGACAGGCAAATTGAAAGAGGAGGAAAGGCAGCAATAAAGAACTCTGACCTGAGAAGGCCTAACCTCAGAGCCCTGGCACACTGAGAAGGTAGGAGAGTTTGTCTTTGTCCCCTCCCCTTCCAATGCCCCCTTCATACCCACGGCTGGAGATCCCTCTGCTCTCCTCCCTTCCTTTCCCTCCCAGCACATATTCATTTCCCCAGGCACTTGCTTTTGCCAATAATTGCTCTACCAGAAGGCAGGCCCCAGTGCAGCAACCTGGCAAAAAGAAACGAGTAGAAGTCAAGAAATATTTGCTCCAACTTCACCTCTCCTTGAGCCTCAGACAGTTTACAAAAGAGGATTCAAACCAGGAGGTTGATTTTTAGGGCATTTTGTAGCCCTTTAGATCTTACGAAAGCAGTCTTACACATATCCTCATTTAATGTCTCAGGAATCTCACAAAGTGTGGAAATTGTTATTACCCCCATTTTTCAGATGCAGAACTTAAGGCTCAGAAATGTGGAGCAATTCTCCAATTCCAGTCAAAGGCAGAACCAGAGGTCAAATTCCCAGGCTCTCTCCCGATCTAAACACATCCCTTCGCTACCTCACTATACATCATGTTGCTTGTTTGGTTTTATTTTCTAAGACAAAGGCAGGATGTCATTACAGTTTCTTAGACATAGGTTAACCACCTCCACTGAACAGCCAGAAGGAAGCATACAGATAAACGCTGAATGTAGCTCAGGGATGGAAATGCACCCTCTTTTGAAGAATTCATATTTTACTAGTTATAGGAAACCATCTGAGGCTTTGCAGTGTGCCTTGTAAATTCAGTAACACTAGCATTTCCCACTTCAAGGAACTAAGGGCTATTTTTGTTGTTATTATTGTTTTATCTTTGTTTTTGTTAATGTCAAAGCTCACACTGAAGGCACTCCATTGGCAAAATAAACAATATGTACAAGATGCCCAAACTCTGTCAGTGCAAGGTGAGGGGTCTCCTCCAGAGTAGGCGCGGTAACATCTCCTGACACCTTGCTGAATGCAGACAGGGGAAACTTCTGGAGCTACTTCTGAGGTGGGAGAGTCTCTGAGCTACTGGGCTGCCCTGAGCACAGTGACAAATAGGACAGGCCACAGTGGTCTAATGAAGCCAGCTGAGTTGTCAATACCAAAGCAGGTCTGGCACCATTTAAAACCTTTCCCAAGCTGGGCGTGGTGTTGCACACCTGTAATCCCAACACTCGGGAGGCTGAGGCAGGAGGATTGCTGTTAGTTCGAGACCACTGGGCTACA